GAAGCTGAGAGTGACAGTTTCCAGTTTCAATGTATTTCGTCCAGAAGAGGCCTAGAAGGAAGTGGGACTTTGGCCTACTCCATGGGGTGCACCTCATTTCTCCATGTATTTTGTTTCTGTTCTCAAATCCTCTAAATTTCAGCCTATCTACTTCCCTCCAGTGCTTCAAGACACAACCCAAATCTTTGCTGATTCTGTTTCCGCTGTCTTCCGTGGCTTTGCTCTCTGCCTGTTAGTCTATTCTCCTTCAGCTGCAAAGGCTTTTCCCCTCCCCTGGCCCTCTACTGGCCTCACCTGCTTCAGGAAGCCTCACCAAACAATATCTCGTGAATTAGGATCAACTGAGGAAACCGAATTGACAGCCCTGAATCTCGGTCCAAAGAAGACTGAGGCTGAGAAGCATGTGTGGAATCTCCAGGTAGAAAGGGGGAAAGGATGCTTCTATGTCTCAAAATAGATGGAATACATGGAAATGAAAATAAATGAAGTGCTATAGCATGGTACAATGTAGGTGGACATTAAAAGGGTGTGCAAAATGAGAGAAGCCAGTCCAAAAAAAAAGAAAAACCCATGCTGTATTATTTCATTTACATAACATATCTATGGTAGCCAAATCCGTGGAGCCAGAGAGTGGATGTCACTGCTCAAGGACAGAAGAGAATGAAGAATGACCACTCGACTCGCAAAGCTGAGTTTTCTTCTACGGGTGGGAACATTTAGTGGGAATTGTTGCAGAACCCCGTGACTACATTAAGACCAAGCACATTTCAAAGGGTGTATTTCATTGTATGAGAATTATATCCAAAGAAAGGATGGAAAAAAATAAACATTGTGAAGCAAGGACCGCAGGGTCTCAAGCAGCTCCTCCCTCTCCTATGTGTGCCCTTCCTTTGTTGAGTGGCTCTGCTTTCTTCCTGGCTTCTACTGTCCAACATGAGAAGTCGCCTCCCAAGGCTCCCGAGCTTCTGGTGACTTCCACAGGAGACCAGGAAGAAAGAGACTGGGACCGCAGCCCTAATCGCGAACAGCTAGGGAAGACTCTTATTGGTCTGGTCCTGATTTGGTCATGGTCCATGTTTCTCTCCACTGTCACTAGGGGAGGAAGTTGAGAAGGGTTAGCGATCTGGGTTCTTAGTGTAATCACAGGGAGTGAAGGGAAGATGAGCATCTCAGTTACTTTTCTATTAGTGTGACCAAAACCATGACCAAAATCAATCCATGAGAGAAGGGATTTCATCTTACAACTCTCAGGTCACAGTCCTTCATGAGATAAGTCATGGCAGGAACTCCAGACAGGAACCCAGAGGCAGGAACTGAAGCAGAAACCATGGAGGGATGCAGCTTACTGTCTTGTTACTCATGGCTTGCTCAGCCGACTTTCTTACTTATTTTAGGCTGCTCACCCAGAGGTGACACCACCCACAATAGGCCAAACCCTTCCATAATATTCACAAATTAAGAAAACACTGCATAGGCTTGCCTACAGATACAAAATCATATGGAGACAATTTGTCAATTGTGGTTCCCTCTTCTCAGATGACTACAGCGTGTGTCAAGTTAGTCTAAAACTCAACCAACACAAGGGACATCTAGATAAGGAATTGAGGAAAGACTGTCCCTGGACCATCCACTGTGGACACTAGTCTTCCAGTGTGCAGGTGACATAGAGAAACCTGATGTCTAGCTAGAGAATTCTTTTCTGGAAAGTTCTTTAGTCAGACTTCTAACTTGGCACTCCCCCAGTCTATCTTTCTATGACTTCTTGGTTTCTGTAGATCTTATCTTTTTGATTAATTAAACTTTTATGACGTTCATGAGTCATTGTCTTTCTGAAGCATCGGATAAAGCCCTAGAGACTGATATGAAGGTTAGATGATGGTCCAATCGGGAGATGGACCCACATTTTCAAGACACACACATTATTTGGATGGTGTCTTTAAAAAGATACATGCAAAATTAGTATTAGACACAAATATTTACATAGAACAAGGAAAGAAATCAAAAGTATGCCATGCCAAAGATCAACAAATACCACATACATCTAAAAATCTTATTTCATTAACAAAAATTTTTATTAATTAGCATTCTAACATATCACTCTAGTCCATTTAAAACTACCTAGCTTTCATTTGGGCTGCAATCTGTTTGATCAACAATATCATAATCCCATTTACTAAAATAGGAATTGAGATCCTTCTGGTAGCATGCATACAATGTGAAAATTCACACCCTGATTAATTTGCAGATCGATGGGCCACTAGAGCTTTGTGACATACAAACATGAATTTGCATACTTTCTGCTTTCCTTATTCTTCATTGAAAAGGGAAAAAGCAAGATGGGTGTGTGAACCTGCATGTCTGCCTTTTGTACTGACCAGGAATTCATCATACTAAACTAGATGTTAATGAATGTGTACGTTTCCTGTGCCAGAAAAGGGTTTCACAGACTAGCATCAGGCTTGATATGCTTCAAACCTTTTTAACCCTCCACAGTTCTGTGGAAGGGCGGCTGGACATGTTCGTATTTCATCTGAAATTCTGATCCCGTGCAAGTTTCTGTGTCTGTTGCATGTTTGGGTTAAGATGCAATAAGAACAGACGTGGCATGTCTATGTCATCCCAGCCAGCCAGCAGTGAGGCGAACCCACAGCCATCCACAGAAGTAGCGTAGATGCATAGCGAGACCCTCCAAACCCCATGTAGATGCATCTGCACACTCAATGTCCTCAAATACTACAGTCAATTCCACTCGGAGAGGAGAAGGGCTTAGCAGGAAAAAGACAGGCCCCACACCAGTAGTAGAGAGAACCTCACCAATCTTTAAGAACTTGAGACCACATGCTCACATTCCTCAGCCCCATCTGAAGGATCTGAAGACCTCTGGAAAAAGGAGCCTGAAGATTCAAGTTGCATCGGCTTCAAGGGGAAATGGCCTCTGTTGGGGGTCGAGACACTTTGGGACATTATAGAACTGTCTCATATGTAGATTACACCCTTCTTATTGTCTTCTCAAATGGGTTTGAAGGCTGGTGTTGGCACCGGATGGTCATTGTCCAATTCCTTGAATCACAATGTTCTACTAACGGGAGAAGAGATATAGGCTTCTCAAGTCACTCCCCAACTCTCTCTCGGATTTCACGTTAACTACCCAGTCAGCTGAGAGGGGGCTAATGGAAAAGGGACAGAGCTCTTGCTGTGAGGGCCAAACGAGATGCTGGATATAAACATCTTATACAGTTGCCTGCTCAAAACAAGTCTAACAGAGGGTTGCCAGTGTTGGATGTCCTCCTTAGACTACCAACCACGGATCACTGTTTGCATTGGAAGACACCCTTCCCACTGACCAAACAGAAAGCAGTTGTCAGGGAGCACAAGGACTCTTGCTGTATCATGTTGCCCTATGTCAGCAGGCACGTGTGAGGACAGCTATATCCCAGCCTTTGTATGATGATGTCACCATCCCAAGTGGATCTGCTATAAACTCATATGCACTTTGATTATCCCGTTAATGGCAGATATTAATGTTTCATTTAGTTGGGTTTCATTTACCTGTCCCATCACCTACATTTTGCCGCTCCAGATCTTTGATTTTGGCTAAGATTTTAATCTATTTACAGATGATTTGGTAAGATGACTGCACAGAAGCAACAAGTGGGCTAAATGCGTGACTGCTTCCTGCCATACTGCGCCAGCAACTTCACGGAGAAGCTGGCGTCACAAAGAGAACATTGTTCCTAGTTGTGTAAGTGACAATGTCAGTGTCCAGAGGAGGGATGATTTGAACATCAAGCATCTTCTGCAGGCCCAAGAACTTACAGCTAAGCTGGTAGTCCTATTTTGAGAGGAGCAAGAAATTCTAGGAGATGGGCCTGGTGCTAGGAAACGGGTCACTTGGGCATATTCTTGGGAGCAGCACCTTGCCTGGCCCCATTCCTCTCCTCTTCTCTTCTCTTCTCTTCTCTTCTCTTCTCTTCTCTTCTCTTCTCTTCTCTTCTCTTCTCTTCTCTTCTCTTCTCTTCTCTCTCTCTCTCTCTCTCTCTCTCTCTCTCTCTCTCTCTCTCTCTCTCTCCTTTCTGATCAGCATGAAGTAGGAGCTGCTTTGCTTTGCCAAATGCCCCTGGCCGTGGTGCTCAGCCTCACTTGGGCCCATGGCTGTGGAAGCAGCCATTTCTGAGGCAGAGGAGCTCTTTCCTCCTTGGGTCATTTTTATAGCAACACAAACTGGACTAATGGATGACTTTGGCCACAGTTGGATTTGGTTGCACAAGTCAAGCCAGTATTTATTCTCCCAACGTCTCATTCTGGTGGCAGGAATGTGGTAGCTTCTGGCTTTAGGGGTTCATCTTCTTGTTGTGAGTGCAATGAAAAACAGGTGGTGTCTGCCCTTGAGATGGTTGATTTTAAATGTCCACTTGCCACTACTGAGAACTACTGAGAAGCGCCTGAGCAGGGAGCCTCAGCTGAGGGACTGGCTACATCAGGTTGGCCTATGGGCAGATCTGGAGGGAGGAGCTGGGTTCTCATGATTGCCCTGACAGATGTAGGAAGGCCCACCCTGAATGGCACCTTCTGGTAACAGCACAGAAAAGAAAGCACATGGAAAAAGGAAGGTAATCCTCCTTTTCTCCCTTGACTGTCCCTCTGGCTGCTGAGTTGATGTCCACAGTCGCTGATGCTGATTCCTTCAGTGACATCAGAACCAGTGTTCTTAGAAGTCCAACTCCTATAGAGGACCCGCTCTACAGGAACCTTTCCGGTCTTTGACGCCAGACCCACTGGGCCCGCTGAGGCATTCAGCCTCATGGGCTGAGCAATTACCCATCTCTCAGCCTTTCAGGTGTGATAGAGGGCTTCGTTCCTCTGGAGAAAGCAGAGAAAACAGTCCCCAAAGTCACCGCAAAGTTACCTTTGTGACTTTTAGCCTCTGATGAGATTACGCAACATTCTCAAATAAGGCTGCGGCCAGCAAATTGGGAAATCAATGCCAATGGGAAGACGGTGGTCAGCCCGCTCTGGAAGCACTGACTTACTGTGGAGACAGGAGGTCTTCCAAAAGCCTGCTTCAGGAAAGGGAAGCATAGCTAGCCAGGCGCTGATGACTCTTCCCTCACACCAGTCCTTGGAACAATTACTTCTGAACTTTGGTCCAGAAGGATGAGGCTCCACCGTCCATCAAAGATCCATTTGGCCCATGCTGGAGGGGAGCAGGCTGGAAAAGGAAGGATCACTCCAACACAGGTTGGTCTTAACCAGTCTAGCCCAGCAAAGGTGACAGCACTGTAGCCCCCTAAATCCTTGGTGTCTGTGTAGTGACATGAAAGACATGAGTCTGAGACAGCTGTTAATTGTGATTCTTGAGAAAGGTGGCATAAACAGATTCCTGCCAATTGAAAGTTTTAATTAGATTTATTAATTCCAGAATGCGGTTGAAACTGTGGTGAATATTGATTATAATGGCCTGTATTTTAAATATAATTAATTCATGATCTACATAATTGCTCATTACCTGTACCTTAATTGTGGGGCATAAAACCTTGTTTATCACTCACACAGTACTAATGGGAAGACGGGCTCTCTCCGATAACTTAGGATTCTTGATATTTTGTTGTTGTTGCGGAAGAGAGCAACAAGACATTTCATTTTCTTTCGTGGCAGAGAGAGGGAGAGAAAATAGGAGCCTGTATCTCCAATGACAACCGGTATGCAGGGACAACCTGATAAACACAGGGCGTTTATGATTCTTTCATGACTGCATTCTCTGACAAGATAAAGTAAATACTCTTTTGTGGGACTGTACAACGGCACAAGGCTAAAGCTACTGTCCAAGGAAGCCGGGGGAAAAAAAAACGTGAGGATAAATACTCTGTGTCTGAGGCTGCTCGTGGGCAACGAGGGTATCCTAGCAGCGTGACAATTTTCATATAATAACATGAAGAATTTCAGGGTTTTTCTTCATCTTATTGCTAGTACCGGCACAATACATCTTTCTTAGGGGAAAAAATTAGACAAATCTATGGAACTTTGTATTTTTCTCATATCCCATAAATCCTAAAGATAGTTCATGTGCTTATTACTGTTGGCATTTTTTTAAGTCCAAGCAAAATCTGAACTCTGTGTGTGTGAGTGTGTGTGTGTGTGTGTGTGTGTGTGTGTAAAAGAGAAACAGACAGACAGACAGAAAATATGAGGTATCTGAGATTTTAGTGACTTTGGATTCTGCAGTGATTTTTGCAACCATTTCCCAAAGACTGTAATGAAAGATGGGGGAAGGGTCCGTGGACATCTGTTTGGGTCTGTGCACAGCCTAGCATGTCCAGTGGGGGTTGTGCACCTGTTTCATGGAGCCTGTGAATGTCAACTGTAATGACTAACTTCATCTAGTCAGAGCTGCAAACCAAGATTATGGAAGAGCTGGCGAGGCAGCCACCAGGACTGCTTTCCCCGATGCTGCCTGGGTTCTGGTTCTGGGAGGATGGTTCTGGAATCGAGTCCGTTGACATGGGCATTTTCACCAAGTGGGGACCTTCACAAATCTTTCAGCATTCGTTTGTGTGAATGGAGTGTGTATGCTGTGAGTGTATGTGTGGGCGTGAATGCACCTGTCTGTGTGTCTGTGTGTCTGTGTGTGCATGAGTGTGTGTATGTATGTATATGTATACTTGTGCATGTGTGTTTGTGTGTCTGCATATAGAGGCCAGATATGTACATGACCACAGACACACGGGCGTGCATTTGCCTCTGTGTGTCTGTGTGTCTGTGTGTGCATGAGTGTGTGTATGTATGTATATGTATACTTGTGCATGTGTGTTTGTGTGTCTGCATATAGAGGCCAGATATGTACATGACCACAGACACACGGGCGTGCATTTGCCTCTGTGTGTCTGTGTGCAGAGGCCAGACATGCACATGCACCCAGACACACAAGCAAGTGCATGCCTATGTGTATGTATGTGTGTAGATGTGCATGTTTGTGAGTGTACATGCATGTGTGCATGTGTGTGTGTGTGCACACATCTGTGTGTGTCTGTGTATGGAGGCCAGAACTTGGGCTTGGATGTCTTCTTCCATCTCTCTCTACCGTATTTTTGGAGACAAGGATGCTCACTGATCCTGGAATTCACCATTTAGGCCAGATGGACAGCATGCATGCTCCCAAACCTGACTGACTCACCTCTGTCCATCTAGAGCTGGGCTAACAGGCCTATGCTGACCTGCCTAGCTTTTACATTGTGCTGGGGATCCAAGTTCAAGTCCTCATGTTTGCATCTCTAAGCCATCTTTCCAGCCCCACCATCCTTAATGCCTTAAAATGTAGGTTTTAATGTTTTGTGTTACAGTCTCACTATGTACCCCAGGCTGGCCTTGAACTTAGCATTCTACTGCCTCAGCCTCCCAAGATCTGGGGCTGAGTATAGGAGCCTTAGGTTACTTCTACTTTCTGTATTAGAGATGGAACCTAGTGCCTAGCATACTGGGTAAGCATCCTACCACTGAGCTACAGGCCCTAGCAATGCATTCATATTCAGACTTTCTGAGACACAAACATAGTCCTTATGGGGTAGATATGTTTCATCCTAAAACCAGCTCTCTGATGTTCTTGATCCATCCAGAAACATAAGTCAAATAATGCACAGTGTTGTGCTATTGACCAAGAACAAATGACTTGTTTTACCTAAATAGTCAAGTCTGTATGAAGTCTTAGGATGCTGTGGAGATTGGGCTAGAAAAGGAAGGAAGCAGACAATGACAGAGCATTTAACAGGAAGTCATGTTCTCACCTGTGGATGCTTCTCCTGGCACCTGAAAACACACGTCCAAGACTATGACAAAAGCCACCTCCCACAAAAGCTAATGCTAAGAGGAAGTCCCTGGTAAACAAAGCTATTGCATCCAAAGGCAGCGTCCTTCTCCTTATACTGATCCTGGAGATGAGGGTGCATTGAGCCCCTGGGATGGTGACTCTCCCGGACTCAGAATCTCTTCCTGTGTAGAGGGCCATTTCAGAAAAGTGGGACCACCCTATGGGCTGGGGGGTCTGAACTGAACGAAAAGGAAGCATGAAGAAGCCAGCTGAGTCCCAGCATTCATCTCTCTCTGCGACCTGACTGCAGAGGCAATGTGACCAGTCTCTCTGAGTTCTCCCTGCCATGACTTCCCCTGTACCCTCATACTCTGAAGCTAAGCCAATACTTCCTTCCTTGAGTTCTTCTAGCAAGAAGCACAGTTGCATCGCATCTGGACACCATGCTTACAAAACCTGGGTGACGTCAGCACAGACAATGACTTTCTCATTATTATGGAGAAACGACATTAATGTTATGATGTCAGACACTGGCAAGATTGGTTCCTTTGGAGGCCTTTGTTCTGGTCTTGCATCTAGCTGCCTTCTGCATTTGTCCTCATCTTTGGGACGGCCTCCACCCTAATTTTCTTGTCCTATAAAGACCCTGGTCATAGTGCATCGGACTCAACCACGGCCCGATATTAACGTCCTTACTCGGACACACTTGAAGATAGTTGGGGCTAAGACCTCAGCATACACACTGGTCAGAGGGCCTCACATCTGCCCTGCACAAGTAGTCAAGTGAAAAGTTGTTCAGAGGTGAGAATACTACTTTGTGTATATAAACTATGAGATGGCTTTTGGGTTATAAACTATTAAGGACATTTTTTCAAAAGTAGCCATCCCTGAGGATGGCTAGCAAGATGGTGTCAATCTGGTCATCTGGTTGGTGAAGAAACGTATTGTGGAGCCAGAGGATCCAAAGTCAATCCCAGGACCCCACATGGCAAAAGAAGTTGTTTTCTAACCTCCCACAGAGGTACTGTGGCTTCATCTGCACACACACACACACACACACACACACACACACACACACGACAAATAAAACAAACATAATTGAAGTAAACTAATAACCACAGTTCCCCCCCAGAGCCTGCACTAAGGGCACATCTCCAGCAGTGAGTCTCATCTGAGGGGCAGAGTCGTGCCTGGAAACATTCGGTATTATCTGGAGGATGGGTACTTTTTGTCCAGCTTCAGGGACGACTTGCTACTGGCATTTGGTAGAAAGTGGTCAGAAACCTGGCTGCTCTGCTTTCTGCCCCATGCTCACAAGCCTCCCTAGTCCAACAGAAACCACTGTAGTAACCAAGTAAAAGGCCCTGTCTAGAAGGTCTTATTGACCTTTCTTTCTATTGAATCTATATACTTAGAGGAAGAAGGATGAGGGAGGAGGGAGAAAAATCGGAGAAGTTGCTAGTCAGGGATTTCTTGAGGACCCATGGTGCCCACTTGTCTCTTAATGTCTTTGTGGCCTGACAGCCATCTAGCAATGGCCAGTCCACCTGGTGATTTACGACCATGTCCCTGCAGTTGGAATAACTTCTACTCTCCTACCCCATAAAGTCTAGAAAGTTTTTCATAATGCTCACAACGCTAATCATAAAGTGGATGAGTCCAGGCAAGGGGCCATGTGAGTCCTTGAAGGCCTCAGACAGCCTGGAACTAGGTCTGCCCTAGGCCCTCGATACCAGCATTAACATTCCCCCATATTTTCTCCTCCTCTTCCATCTCATCTCAAGCTGCATCTAAACTTAACAAGCTCCCCTGTGACCCAGGAAGAGATCAGAGAGCTCCTTGCATTCCTAAGATTGGGGGATGGGAGCAGGTTCTAATAGCAAATGGAGCCAGAGAGGAAATGGCAGGCCAGGAAATGGCAGAGGAAATGGTGGGCATGCAGGAGTCTCCACTGTTTGACAATCAGAGGCCTGGAGAAGAGGGAGAAGTCTTGCTTGTCCAGGATCTCTAGAAACTTTAGTGGAGGCCAAGTGTTTTTTCCTAGTGGGCCCACCCAGCATAGTGACCCTTCTTCATTGAGGCCTCTCTGCAGGGATTAGCTGATCAGGAATCTCCCTTCCAGGCCTGATATGCTAGTTCCACCTTGAGAAGCCTTTGGTTCTCCATCCTCCCTGTGGTATTACTGAAGCTACCAAGTTGCCAAATATACCTCGGGTGAGGTTCTGGGGCAGCTCAGAGACTGAGGGACTGAGCTGCAGGGGGTGGGGTGCCCTTCATTTCCGAGCAAGTGAGAGGTGGAAGTTGGTGTAGGGAGAACCCCCTCCAATGCCTTCACAGTCGTTCCAAAGATGCTCTGGGCTTTGAAGGCCTTCTGGTCTGTGACAGGCAGAAAGAAGGTAGGCGTCTGTATTTTCAGGAAATGGGCAAAACTAGGCAGAAGTTGGTCTCAGTTGAGCGTTATGTATAATCTGAGCTGGGACATGTAACTCCTGGTGGCTATAGGCTCCTGAATGAGGGTCATCTCCCGAGAGAAGAGCCACCAATTACACCCCACATTACACTAACAAAGTCGCTTCTTTCCCAACATCAGGAAGAAGCAAATACCGCAAGAGAAAGAAGAAGCTTTCTCTTCCATGGCGAAAGAGGGCAGGCCAGAGATTCAAGCACTTGGCATAGGCAGCATAGGGATGAGCTGGAGGCTCCGACGGCCATTCTCTGCCTCCTGCAGAGGGGCACCCATGCCTGCCGGGGGGGGGGGACTTTGGGAAAGATGGAAATGAAAAATGCAATTGTCCCAGGACCCCTGGAATGCCCTCCCTCATTATGTCTGAATTAAACGGGATTCTTTTGATCAAATGGGTTTATACGGAAACCATTCTGAGGGGCAGGAGTGAAGTCAGTAACTACAGGGCAAACAAAATGTGTGCTCCCTGTAAGCACGGCCCGCTCTGAGCGCCTTCTGTTCACGTCAACCTTGTCTTCTCCAGCTGTTGTTTGGACCAAGCACAAAGGGCCTTTGCTACTACAAGGTGGAGCTGGGTTGTAGCTGTGAGCAGTGACATCCCTTTGCGAAGAGCAGGGTTAAGGAGGGCAGTGCACCTACCTGGTACGGTAGAACACGCTTGTAATCCCAGCACTCGGACACCGAGGCAGGAGGATCAAGAGTTTGAGGCTAACCTGAGCTCCACAGCAAGACACTGTTTCGAAAACCAGCCAATCAGCCAATTGATCAATCCATGGAGGTCGACACTAGAGCATCCTAAGAGTACTTTACAATCATCGATACGTATGATTCGGGTTGCCTATGTCCATGGGCACTGGTAGTGGCTGTCCCATGCTGTAGACCAGAAAGCAGGCCTAGAGAGGTGTCAAAGTCATGTGGGTGAGAATCCAGATCCTGAAGTCCCTGAGGAAATCTGTGTTAGCCCCACTGAGAACTAACATCCTTCCCTCTCTAGGAGGTTGTTGAATGAATAACAGTCCAGGCTTCACTTGCTGTTAAAGAACTGCCCAGAAACATAGTATCTCCCACTTCAGAATCCCATGGTAGGGAGAGGATCTGGGAAACACCACAGAGTGGGAAGACTGAGGCCCAGAGCGGGGAGATCACATGCCTAAGGCTGCGAGACTGGCTGCTGGCTCAACTAAGATTAGGTCTTGCCATTCCAACTGCCGAGTATCAACTCACGGAGCAGATTGTTTCAGAGGCTGGGGGACAAGGGAGGGGATTGTATGATTATCAGTGAAATCGATCAACAAAGTCACTGTTTAATTAAAAAATATATCAAAACCTTTCTTGATAATGATCGACCTGCTACAGTGGAGCAATTAAAGCCGTGATTTTATTTACTGAGTTACTGCCAACTCCGATGATTTTTTTTTCCAATACCCCTGTGATAACTCAATTGGAAATATGTGGGAAGATGTAGTCATATAAAGCTCTTCCTTAAGATAACTCGTGTCACAGCCAACCAGGGAGTTTATGTGATGGGCCCATTGCACCAGCAAAGTCCCCTCTGTGCCATTCAGCCTCCAATGGCTCTAGTGGGGCCCGTCAGGAGTCTAAGCTGGGGCCCATATTTGAACGGGTGAAGTGCACCCCCCCAACACGTTCAGCAGCTCTGAGGCCGCTGCACATTCATGGTAATTAGGGATGGATGCTTTTTAAGGCTTAATATTAAGTTTTGAATTCAAATTAAACTTTCATTAGAAGTTTTTTATTTCAACTGAGGTACTTTGCTATGGACATGGGTGGTTGTGCCCTTCAAAATTAGATTAAGATTTGAACTCTCACTGTGGTAGAAGTAGGAGATGGAGCCTTTCAGGGGTGACTAGGTTGGGAGGGTGACCCCCCAGGGCATGGGATTAGTGCTTTTACATTGGGCTCCAGAGAGCATCTTTACCCTTTCTGCCTTGTGATGACACAGAGAGAAGTCACTGTCTATGAACCAAGAGCCAGCCCTCACCAGACACCGAACCCGCTGCTGCCTTGATCTTAGGCTTCCCGGTCTTGAAAACTGTGAGAGATAAATTTCTGTTGTTTAGAAACCACCCAGTTTGTGGCATTTTGTTATAGCAGCCCAGATGGACTAAGATGCCAACATATCTCCCACTCCCACGTGCCACTTTGTGGATGATGCTGAGGGGGAGTGAGAGCCTAGAATTCCCCAAGCAGACAAGCTCTTCTGCTTCGGAGTCATGATGGAGGGCTTATGTTCTGGGCTGAGAACTCCCAAAGCCACGTGTGTGTTGACTCTGAAAAGCGAAAGGATGGGCCTGCGAACATTGAGAACTTTGATAAATGCGCACCTCTTTAGTTCCATGCCCAGTATGTTCATATCCCAAGAAAGAACCCCACGGTTAATTAAAACAGGGAGATGCCACGTATGTCACTTGCCTTTGTGGATTACCACGCTAAAAGCTGTGGGATGTCAGAATCAATAAATTAGTTTAATTCTTGGTTTATCATCTTCCTAATATGCTAGACCTCAAGATGCTATCCTTATGCCGTACCTATAGACACAACTCGGAGAACCCATGTGACGAAGTCCTACTGAGGCAGAACGAGGCAGAAACTGATTATTAATCAAGAGAATCACAGGCAATAGGATGAACCATCTGCCAGGGGTCGGGAGACCCGGATTTTGGTCTAGACTCTTCCGTTAATTAGCTGTGTGACTTTGGGGGAGATCACATTCCTCTGGGCCTTGGTTTACTTGCCTGTAAAATGAGGGGCTCTAATTAGGTCATTCCTAAGGCCTCTTCTGGCTCTAACGTATGATGTTTTCCGATCCGAGAGATTTATCTACTGATGGGCTGTCTCTCTGTCCATTAGCTGTCATAGCTCAGGCTGTCAGTTGCAGGGTCTGTGAAACACCTGGAATATCTCTCAGAGCAGGCAGAATGGGCTACGGTACCCCCAAAGCCATCTGGATACGACTGCCACCTGTGAGTTCCTGCCCACCACAGGATAATGGCTATACCTCACCCCCTTCCACATCCCCCTCTCCCAGAGACCCTTCGTCCACGTTGCCCTGTGATATGAGTCTTGGGTTTTTGTTTGTTTGTTTGTTTGTTTTGTTTTGTTTTGAGATAGATTTTCATTATGTATCCCAGAATGGCCTCAAACTCATCATCTGCCTTCCTCATGTCTCAAGTCTTGACAAGATGAGGGTATTATCTGACTGACATTGTAACGTTTAAGAAAGCTAGGCTTGATGAGGAAAAAAAAAAAAAGCCATGCCAGACATGGAGACAGGACTGCATTCAGGAATGTGTTGATAGGGTGCTGTTCAGAAGATCTTTGTGGGACTCTCTCACTGGGTGGTTAGTCTCAAGGACCCCACAGGAATGGATGACTGCGAAAAATAAAGGCCTAGAAGGCTGCAGGAATGAGATACTGGGTAGAGACGAGGACAGTCGGAGTGGCATGTACACATGATACGTTCCGGGTGTGCTGAATCTACATCCATGTAAGAGAGCAGGAAGTGGGGAGTCCCATGACATCCCAGGCCACAGAAGAAACTCCTGAGTGCTCATGTGTCAGGATGTCTCTGTGCTCAAACAGGTGACAGAGAGACATTTCTTCAGGAACATGGTGAGGCGGATGCCATCATGGACAGCAGCCATGAACTTTACATGTAGCCGTGTATGCTGCGCTCGAGGTGTTCTAGTGTGTAGGACAGCTCAGATAAAGCCATCCTCGAAGGCACAGTAGGATAAGGCAGGTGGAACGAGAGATAAGCCCCTCCCCCAGATTCCCAGACTTGTAAAAGGAGGAGGGAGGGCCTCACAAACTCCCCCTCACAGCTCAGTCTCCTCCTGCTCATTCTAGTGATCAGCGCAAGCCTGGGGTCTAAGGAGAGATGGTGCCTGGTTATCCATGCTGTTCATTTTAGTGTTGGTGGTCGCAGGGTCTCTACTAAGTGGGGTGAAGTATAGAAGGAGGAATGAGAGGCATAGATAAGAACCGGAACAGAACCTCTGCCCTGGGACAGAGCACAGGAAGTAGCTGCTCATTTTCTTTCTTTCATTCTCATACAGGAGGTGACTAAGAGGAGGCAACTGTCATGGTAAAAAATAGTTAAGTATTGATTAACATCTTCCCTTAGCAGGAATGTTATCACACACAAACTCTGAGAATCGGAAGGCCCACACCACTCTAAAGGGAGTGAATTATGCTTCCTGTAGACCTAAGAGCCTAGATAGCCTCATGCATCTACCTGAGCAGAGGCTGTCCCACAAGGGCAGTCTGCACTTCACTAAACTGAATGAGAATTCTCCAGATTCGGAAAGACCAGCGTACCCTCACTTTGCTCTTCTTTTCTTTGCTATATGCTGGCATTAAAAAATGTCACCTAGGTTGCTAAAAGACCTTGTTCTTGCTGGCTCTTTTTTTTTTTTTTCCAAACTTGACCAAAGCTAGAGTTATCCGGTAAGAGGAACATCAACTGGGAATATGCCTCCATTGGAAAGGCCTGTAGGGACATTTTCTTGATTAAAGATCAGGGTAGGTGGTGGGATCCCTGCCTGGCAGATGGCCCTGGACTGTATAAGCAAACAGCTTAGAAAGTCAGTGGGAACAAGCCGATAGGCAGCACCCTTCCATGGCCTCTGCATCAGCTCCTGCCTCCAGGTTCCTGCTTTGAGTTCCTGCCCTGACTTTCCTTCATGATAGACTATGAACTGTCAGATGGAACAAATCCCTCCCTCTCCAAACTGCTTCTGATCATAGTGTTTATGTTAGTCATAGAAAACAGTCAAGGAGGGCCCTTGTGGATGTCTGCTGGTGGTAGCTGGTTTGAGATATCAGACCTGAGTGTCAGAGACCCCAAAACACTGTCTGAAGCTCTCTCCCTCTCTTTCTCCCTCCTTCTCTCTCTAATGCCTTTGTCTGGTGTCTCTCAATAATAGCTACTGTAACTCAATCTGAAGAAAAATACAAAGGCTCCATTGACTACTGTGATCAGGGACCCCGAATCAAGTTTCCTGAGGTTGTAGCCATCTTTTCTTTCTCTCCATTTTGCCTCCTGTGGCCATGACCTCATTCAACAGTTACCAACACTGAAGACTGCTGGAGAATACCGAGACAATATGTCCTATTCTCCAAACCAAAGAAGGAGAGAGGGGAGAAGAAAGAGGAAGGAGGAGGAAGAGGGGTAGGAGGGAGAGAGAGAAGTAAAGAGATGCAGAGAGATAGAGGCGGCAGAGAGACAGACAAGGTTAACATGTGTTCTCATGAGGCCACAGGAGCTGCCCGTTGCCAGAATTTGACGTCATGTTGAGTGTTGTCAACCACACATCATTTCATACAACAGTGTGGCTGGTCCCTTGCATATGTCCCCACAGCAGCAGAGACTTTTCTGGCTGCATCTCCCTCTGCTGCAAAGATCAGGAGAGACTGTTCTCTCATGCGCAAGGTTTGCATCCTCTAGCGATCCTGGCTAGCTGCTTTGGAGCCACTCATCGCCAGATTGTCCCCTCTGCTCACCTTTAAGGTCATCGAGGCTGGCTGCTCTCATCTTTTCCAAGTAGTTGGCACAGTTCTACTCATGTCCATAGGAACAAGAGGATGCCATCTCTTTAGGATCTGTCTTGGAGACAGGGCGTTTTCCACAAAGCATCACCCGATCCCACATCCCCAGACCCCACTCAGCAGCCAATAACCTTGGGCAGTGTTTCTCTCCTCTCCGGGTCTCAGGGACATCAATCGTAACCAAAGTGATCCAGATTATTGGATCATAAAGATGGTGAATGTCAGTGGAGTGATCCACACACAGCACTCATCACCATTGCTGAAATTCTGGATTTCCAAAAAGCACTGTGTGACCCTTCTAGTATGTCCTGCAAGCTCCCAGGGCTGTGTTCTTGGTCACCGATGCTGGGAAGAGATGGGAACAGACTTCTCCCTTTTGTTTCGACTCTTTAGTCATCCTTGTCATCAACAACTCCTTCCATGATAGTCTTAGAGTAGGTACTCTGCTCTGTCATCTGCAGAAAAGACTCCCCAATATCCATTTTGTCGCCTGGAAAGAAAAGGACCTGATAACACACGTGTCAGGACCTATTTTCAGTTCTTTGCAAGTCAGAGCTTGCCTCCATGCCTTTTCCAGTCCCTCAGGACTTTTAGATATACTGTTTAAATATTTATAAACTGTTACAATTATTTATTAAAGGTTTATGTTGTTATTATATTTAGTACGGAGTATTCATTTCTCCCTCCAAAAATAACAGGACTTTCCATTAAACTATGTGCGTTAACGATGCAGTAAATTGTCTTTTAAAGCAATAGAGAAAGTTTCTCTCTCCTTTGACAATCCTAAGTATCCTTATTTAAAAGTAGGGATCCTTCCTCACTGGAGAATGCATCGCTCCCGATTCTCTGAATGCTGTTCTATGCGGACTGAGGAAATGTTTAGTGCTTATGCAGAGAAATTCTTGCCTTAGAAATCATTGTCCAGCTGAAAGCAATGGATGCTCTGGAGTTGGCCAGTTCCTTCTGTGCACGCTGCTGTTGTGTGCATACAAGTGAGCACGAGTGCGTCTTTTCAAGAGTGTCTCAAAGTAGATCAGCCTTGCTTCCTCCCTCCCTAGCTTTCTTCCCTTCTGCCTTCCTCTCTTCCAGTTTAACCCAATCTGTGCTAACAGTGAGAATGATGCTAAATGCAAACAAACAAACAGAAACCAGATGAGAAGCTCTACTCTGAGGAGCCGGGTAGTTAAGAGCACTCGCTCGCTCTTCCAGGGGAAGAGGCTTCAGTTCTTAGTGCCCACATTGGGCAGCTCACAACCATCTACAGCTCCAGCTGCAGGGGATCTCGCAACCAACTGACACCTGCATTTATGTGCACATACCTGGACACACACACACATACACACACACACACACGCACACACACACACACACACACACACATTTAAAACTAAAATCAATCTTACGTAAAAAGAAATCCTACCCTGAAAGATTTGCAGGCTCCAATGGCAGATGAAAATCAACAAAAGCAATGTCATATGAACGGAAACTCGCAACAGAAAGGAGCAAACAGAAGTCCACCAGGAAAAGGAAGAAGGGTCCACACGGCAGAAGACTAGTTCTTTGGTGTATGTATCATCTGTACACCCCGCATGAGGCTAGATTTAGAGAAAAGCAGCTCGCTTTTCCTTGGAGTGAAATGTCTCTTCCTTCACTAGGTTGTCAAGCCACCGGTCTGGATTTGTTGCTTAGGCTAGTTGACCACTGCTCCTACCTGCAGAGACTTTGTCCTGTAGGGACATATAGTAATATCTGCAGCCGTTTGACAGATGAGTAAGAGGACATTGGCATGTAGAGGTTGGAGCTGAGATGTGCTGCCAAACGCCCATAGAAGCTCTCAATACAACCCTCCATCCCTGAATGTCCACAATGCCCAGATTGGTGCTGAGAAAAACTGGGCAGCTTCTGGAGGACTCTGAAGGGTTCCTGTGAGCCTGTCATGAAATTCCTGGAGGAAGCATTGCAAAGGCAAGGGCCAGAATGTTCCTGAGGAGACTGAAGGTAGTGCCTTTTGAATGTGTATCTCATTTTTTTGTGTCATTTAAGCTCTCAAAAATAAATATTAATAGAGCCTTTCCTCTTTGTTTTTTTTTTCAAGGTTATTTTGAAAGCTGATTTTTTCCCCACCCCCACGTCTAGAAACCAAGAGATCAGGATTCTAGACTTGACTCATCCATCAGCAGATGCTATGACTTGGGGTAACCTAGATCCTCTCCTCTGTAGGCTTACTTCTGTAACCACTGGGGACTTCAGGGAGCTGTGCTATCCTGTTTTTTTTTTGTTTGTTTGTTTGTTTGTTTTTGTTTTGTTTTGTTTTGTTTTTCAGTATGATTCTGGAAAGCCCCTGGAATGCCCCACAGGGAAATAAAAGGCCAAGGATGCGGAGTGTTTCAAGGATCTCCTTGGAGCAGAAAGAATTAAATAAAAACCCAATGAACCTGAGCTGGATCGGCTGCCCTCTTGTTCCTGGCAGGTCCCAAGGCATCCGAGAGGCACCACGGGACTTCATACATTGTGGATGTGTGTGCTCACCATGGAACGGAAGGAGAGAGCAAGATGAGCCTGGTTATGCAGTCCCTGAGGATTAGAGGCCATGGTGGTCCCTATTGTCTGTGGGTGAAAACTGAGGGCTACCCCCCCTTCCCCCTCTGCTGGAAACTTAGGAGCACGCTCACTGGTAAAAGTCCTGAGACAACTGCTACGATTTCCAACCTCTGGCTGTACCGCCTCTCTAACCTCCAGATGAGAGTTCCATTCTTTTCCTTGGAAATCTAATTCCCTCTGCTTGCTGCTCAGGGTCCTAACACACACTGCCATGGGCCCCTGGGCCATGTTCTGGAGGCAGGGGCTATTACCTTGATAACCCGAAAGGAATCTATCTCCGGAAGTCAGCCATCTTTCACCCTGCACTTGAACCTGCAGGACTCTATCTTGCTTGCTTGTAAAGGAAGCTGTCTGAAGGCCACATATAAATTCATACATTCCTAGAATTTAGTTTAGAGGACCCAGAGGGGCTCCTGAAGGAACAGACCGATTTCAGACCTGCTCCGGTGCCCCGGAGAGTCAGCAGGCTGCCAGTCCATTCTTCCCACTCAGAGAGTTGGGGGCGCTTACGACATAATTGAAGCATTAGTAACAGTTTCTTTCCCCTTCTCCAGGCGTTCCCAGAGGTCTGCCGTTTGCTTTGCAGGAACCGTTGGCATTAAATACGCTGGGTGTCTGCACAGCAGTGAGGTGGTTAATTTTGACTGGATATTATGCTCTATAACCACTTGGCATTTAACTTGAAAAATGACTTTCTGCATCACCTGTCAGCGTACCAGTTCTCATCAAATAAGTGAGTGAGAAAAAATTTTAAATTTCAATTTCCTGATGCTATTAGACACTACTTCTTCCATACTTAAACAGTTTAGCAGGGCATGGGCAGGCTTTGGTATGCAGGCCGTGTTTCGCGCTACATGCCGTTACGATAGCTATTTTTTTGTTTAAAGGGTAAAGAGATGCATGGATCTTTATCTGGAGGTTAGAAAAATGTATTGCAGGAGCAAGGCCAATCAGGCTCTGGGTAACTTTGAACTGGTACCGGCCCAGCAATCACCGTAGAGGACTTGACACGTCAGAAGCGGCTTAGAAATGAAGTAACGGCGGAGAGTAACCTTGCTCAGTACTTCAGGGGGAAATTGATCACTCATGTTAGCATTAATCTATTTTTACTGTTCCTTTGGTCAATTATAATTCAGTAAACCATGCCGGAGCCTTGCGTTCATGAACTCTCTCTATGTTTAAGATTAAAACCCCAGGCTCCTCTGCTCCGGTGAATTAGAGATCTCTCCCACGCCTCGCAGTTCAAACAGCTTCGTTAGCGTCCCCTCATTTTGTTTAGACATCCTTGAAATGAAAAGCCTGTGGAGAGATGACAGCATTTGATTTCTGCATTGCGGAGCCACTTTCTAATAAGTCCTCGTTTTTGTACCTTGACCCAGGCAGGAACTAGATGGGTGACTAAGTGGGGTTCTGCTGACTGCATCCTGGGGTAGGACCCAGGCCCCAGCAGACTGCCAGCTTACTGCCCCCTCCCCCCCCCCCCGCCACTTTCATTCTATTTATCATCTGTCCATCCATCCATCTGTTTCTTAAGCAGCATTTAGCTGTGTAGCTCAGACTGAACTAACTCTATAATCCAGGCTGGATTTTATGATCCTCCTGCCTCAGCTTCCAGTGAGCTGGGATTCCAGGAGTATGCCACCATTCCTAGGCCTGTTCTGTTTCCTTAAATGAAACAACACCAAGCCTCTCCTCACATGCCCACCTCTGGGATAGCTGGCACTCGGAGAAGTTATGTGACTGTTCCCGAGATCCTGCATCTGAAGAAGGCTTGTGACACTGCCTGGCCTCCTGCAGTAAGAGTTGGACCAGCCTATAATTTTATCTCTCAAACTTTCATTTTCTGCTCTCTTTGTGCCTAGACTTAACTTTTCTATATCTTGGGGAGGTGCTCCCAGAAAGAATAAATCATTTAAGGTCTTAGACACTTGGGATAAGGTAATCCTTTACTTTGTCCAAAAGGTGTGTGTGTACATGTGTGTGTGTGTAAGTATATGTGTATGTGTGTGCTTGTGCATGTTTGTGCATATATGTGTGTACATATGTATGAAGTCACTCCTGTTTTATAGATGAGAACGCCCAGACTGAGTGGTCTGAACTGACCTGTGGCAGACAGAGCTGGAAAAAAAAGTGTAAATTTCATTTTGCACAGAAGCTATAGTATTAACTATGCCAGCAAATGCAACAGGAAGGGCTTCCAGCACGGGGCATATCTTCGGTTCTCGTCTGACTATTCTCTAGCCTTGTTTTGTTACTTCACAACCCTTCTATAAAAGCACCAGGTGACTAGCAACAAGGGACAAGGGACGTCTACTGCTGTCGGCCCGTACCAGCAACCCAGAGACCCGGCCGTCAGCCCGAGGGAGGCTATTTGTCTCCATCGGAAACATGAACCAGATTTCCCCGTAATGGGCTCCATATTTTGGCCAAGCCGCCTCAGATGTCTGGCCAATAGAAAAGCCGTGTCCTTCCTGCACAATTTCAGCCCTAAGAATCTGTGACTCTCACTCCCTGGAGGCCCAGGGAACAGGAGGAGGGCGGGCTTGAAATCAATAAATGGATTGCACACCTTCAGGGCCCTGCCATTTGTCATCTCTGACCTACACAGGCATTCTGGGATCATACTAACCCGTGCTACGCGAGTTCCCACCCCCTCTCTCTTATCCCCGACTCTGAACCCTCAAAATATTGCTTCAAGTTCCAGGAGGCTGGGTGGCGAGAGGTGGGGTGTGACAGAAACAGAGATCTAACAGAAGATGAGGGGCAGAAAGCATCCAGAGTGCTGGTGCCGGCTGAGTGGCTCCAATGCCATCCTAGTACCTCTGAGCTCAGCCGGGGCCCTTGGACCCTTCCTACACTGCCTTCCAGGAGGAGAGCCCTGTTGTACTTCCTAGAAAGCCACATTCAGAATATGGGCTCAGTGTGATGTCCACACTCGGCAAGCACATCCTTTAAAGCCATCCATCCATACATCAAAAATCCAGTTTTGAGGTATCCATGATGCATCGGGCTTCAGCTTTGAGGTGCTCAGCATCTTCCCGTCTCCATCCTGTACTCAGGAAATGCCTTCTAGTAGGATGCTTAGAGCTCAAAAGGGAGCTGAGGTGTTGGGGACTCAAGGAGAATGTCTGCATCCCTGAGGCTGAAGGGACACTGGGAAGAGGCATCATGTCGGGGATCTGGGCTCTGGCATTATCTCTATAAGCTAGGGCAATTGAGGACGGGGCTGGCTGGAGGCTGAGGAGCCAAGTGCTGGTGCGGGCACCCTCTAACTCAGGTTCTTAGTGACCCCACAGCAGTCCATCGGGGCTCAAGGTCTAAAGCTGGAGACTGGTAAGGAGAGCAGGAAGAAGGAAGACAATAGAAAAGACCCAGCTAGTAATAGGGTTCCTAGATAGCCTTTGGAGGGGACTCTCAAGACAGTGGGTGACCTCTGGAAGGCTGATTCTCACTCTGCTCTCTCAGACCTTACCCCCACCCCGCCATTAAGAGAGCCGGACCACAGGCTGCTTTGCAAATGCTCCCCAAGTCTGTCCGTCTGTGTCCCAGGCCCCTAGGAATGTTTCCCTGGAGCCACACCTCAAGTTGGCTGTCGGGAGCTAATGTCCTGTCCTTCATATCTTTCTTTAATCACGAGAGAGTAATTGCAGATATTTAAACACTCGAGTTTCCTGCAGGAGTTTCTGTTCTGGGTTTTATAGGCCTTTTATAACAGAACAAATCACAGTTTGGATGAAATTCTGGGAATTCTCTTGCAGGATAATCGTGCCTAGATTGCCTCCCCACTGCTTGCTTAATGCGCCTGTCCAAGTTTGGGATTTACTAGGGAGCCAATTTGTTTTTAAGAAATTAACAAAACCACTACCTAAGTACCACATTGAACATAAAGTTTTTTTTTTTTCCTTTTATTCATTTTGGTGAAAGGGGAAGAAAATCCCCCACATTCTGCAACTCGCAGAACAGCCCTGGAAAGTCATTTTTATGAAATTGAATTTCTCTCCCCAAATGATTCCCCCATGCTAAGGGGCTGCAACGTGGCCTCCCCGTAACCCCTTCTCCATACTCGTCTCTTCAGCAGTTTGGGTTTGAACTTTGCAAACTTTGGCTGGCACATCGGCCTCATTGCATCCTTTTTTTTTTTTAACTTTTAGAATTTTTATTTTTTAGTGGTTTTGAAGAAACACAGAGAGCCACTTGGATGACAGAATTCTCAGTTGGGGAAAGCAATATGAACTGAGATTTAGACAAGAGAAGACCCAATTCCCCACAGCCTAACCCTGCACATACACAAATTGCCTTTTTCTTCTCTTCAAAATGTGCCCTGGAAATGCGGGAAGGAAAGAAGATGCATTTCTCAGCGCCGGGTTCTCTGGGACCTCTTTGGAGAGCAACTGTAGGTGTGTCCTCTTCGGGAACCCTGTCTCTCTTGCACTCCCTGGACTTCCCAGTTCTGCCCTATGCTAGCCACAGAGGGAGTGGCTCTCCCCCTCTTGCCTCTCAGCCACTTGGGAAGAAATCTTATTTTAAGCATGTCCTTTTTTTTTTTTTTTTTTGCCTGAGTTCAGTCGCAAAGCCACAAATAGCTGAAAACCGAGTCTCCCTTGTGGGGCAGCAGGCCTGCCGAGGCTTGATCTTTGCAGCCATGAGGGGAGGCAGGCCTGCCCCAGGTTGGGGATGAGCAGATGGCATACCCTGACCAAGGTCATTGAGACTGAAAGGCTATGGAGTGGAGGTGGGGAGTCCAAGATGGGGTTTCCCCAAGGGGTTTCAGGACTTGGAGGCCTTTTCCAATCTGATTACAGAGCTTGGGGCCAGAACCTTTGTGGGGGAACAAAGGTCACTAGGACGCGGCAGGAAATTTCTGCTAGGGCTGAACTCGGGTTGGTCATAAGGCTACACAAGGAGCTGGAATCCAGGGCCTCCTCTGAGAGGGCACTGTAAAGAGACCTCAGAAGGAGCGGAAAACGCTCTTGCACCTGCTTGGTGGGTGTGGTGCTGGGATCCTCAGTTGGACACTCATATTGCAATACAGAAACTTTCTCAAGATCTACATGGGTTGACTCCCTCTCTGGAGGTGAAGACACAAAGATAGTCCCAACCGAATGCCACTGTCCAATCCAACCACTGGCATGTGGAAGGAGAACACTGAGAGACAGCATTGTCCTGTCCTGTGCTCTGGTACCCAGTGGGGCATCCTCCTCACAAGCCAGGCTATGTGGACTTTGGTGTATATACAGCCTCACACTGGACATAGTCCCCTACTGTATCTTCTGCCATCCTGGGGGCCCTGAAATGCCTCCCAGCAAGACAGTTCCCAAGGTGGGAGATCTTGGCCAACATGGGTTAGATCTTGAGAAAGACCCTGTGTGTCCTTGACTCATGGTCAATACCAGTATCAGACACCATCAAGCCAATCTCCACAGAGTCCTTGTCAGTCTTGATGTCTGGACCAGAGGTTTCCTGTGACCCTGGTTTTGAACCTCAGTCATACCTGCTCCCATACTGCCCTGGCCTATGGGCCTCACTCTTATCTGACAGCCTCTGCTTCCCTAGGCTACTGACTTAATTTAGAGTTTTGTAGGCAATAGGCTAGTCAGAGGATCATAAGACGGGAGGCAGGACAAGCGGTGTTTTCATTCTGGGCATGTGGTTGGCTCCAGCTTACGCCTCTCATCCCAGGAGTCAAGCATTCCCACCTGCCTGCCTCCCAAGTGCTCCATGTTGGCCCTGTATTGACATACCTCATTTTGCTTTGAGCTGCAGAGACCTTGCTGGCGGGGGGTCCTCATCACCCTACAAGTGCAGGGCTGGCCAACCACAGGAAGAATGTTACTGGCCCTCCGTCCACGCGCACACTTTCCAGTATCTCAACATGAATGAAGGAAGTGCCTACCGTGCATCAACCCCGGGTTACCAGATAGGAACACAGAAAAAGGCCTAGAGAAGCTGTGTGGACTCTGTCACCTTTCTGACCCCCACCTCTGCAACCTGAACTGTCCCATCCCGCAGAAGACACAAATTTGGTACACACTTAGGGCAGCAGGGGTGCCGCCAGCATTGTTTCCCCCAAAGAATACATTTTTAATTAACAGGTTTTATTTACCACAACCAAGTTCACTCATGTTCACACAGCCACCTCAAAGAACATTTTAAATTATCAGCTTTTACTCAACACAAGAAAATATCCCTGCCGGGGTGGGGGTAGGGGGGTGAGGAAAAAGAGAGAGAGAGAGAGCTGGCACTCCCTAATCCCCTCCCCACCCTCAACCTGCTGTCTCCTGTCACAGTGGGACACATGGTAGCTGATGGCCCCACACAGCTGGGCTTCCCTTCCCTTCCCACTTGTCTGCAGGGCAAGGAACTGTCACCATCTCTGACGTGACTTGCCAAAGCAAAGTCTGAAGTCCCTCTAAGCAGTGCAATGGTTCCTTCTGCCTTCTGTCCAGCGAAAGGAAGTGTCACTGGCTCTGCTAATTTCATGGTGTAGCCTTCGCTGTCCCTCTAGTTCAGCCCCTGCCAGAAAGCCTTGAAGGACAGCTGGTTTCATTTGCTGTCAATCGAACCACTCCTTTGGTAAAGACGACCCTAACCTTGGCCGGGGCAGGAAGCAGACAATCTCACGAACGTGGTGTCTGCCTTCGGCAGGGACAAAGGCTTGCCCTGCTTTTCCTTGGTAAACATATAGATGAAAAAATTTTATTGAGTCTATTTTAATATTCTTCAACTAATGGGAGAATTTTAAAGGCCTTTCTAAGTATAGGAATAGCAAACGCTGCCTCGGACATCATCCAAATGAACAAAATGAAAATACCTTTGGTTGAGGCAGGAGAATGGCCAGTGCAGCCCACGTCCACCATTTTGGAAAGCGAGTTCTTAGCAATGGCAACAGCAAACCACATTGTGGCAATCAGTGCTCTAATGAGCCTCTAATTCGGTTTCTACCTTTATCCCAAAGGTACAGAATATAGCACTGATTTTTTTAAAAAATATCAAGAAAACATCATTTGCTCTAAAATGTCCCTAAAAGCAGGTCTAAATTGCCAATAAAGGCCGGGTAATTGTATCAGCATGGATCAGAAAGCATTCTCGGGCCCCATGAAAGAGTTTGCAGAGCTGAAAAGCTCCAGCCTGCTGTATCCTGGCCCTCAAAAAAAAGAAAAAAGAAAAAAAATCCCTCCCACCCCAGTGTGGTACAAGGACAGGGAGTTAAGTTTTCAATACACTGCCATCTCCGAGACAGTCAACCCCCCCCCCCAACACATACACACCCTTGTTCTAATTTCTTCTGAAGTCATCTGAAAACTCAGGCAGAATCCAAAGCAACTGAGTGGTTGTTTATTCTTGAGACGCAGACCTTTCTCAGGGTGGCTCCTTCAGTCCTGGGGTCGGAGTTATTTAATTATTCTCTCCCCACGCCCGTTAACAAGACGGGGTGGGGAAGCCAAGTGCTTAGCTGGTTCCACTTCCTAAGAGGACCAGACTCGCCTCCACCTTAGCTATAATCACTCGACTAGCAAACACACATACAGTATAAATATTTAAGAAAAAGTAAATTCCATTA